ACACTGTGTGGGGGAGTTATGTTTGTTTTTCTTTTTCCTCTTTGTTCTCATATATTTACCCATGACTTGGGAAGGAAATACCAGGTTGTTTATACCATTATCTTAGTAAAAATTTACAAAGTTTGGACAATACTTCCAGTGGTGTATACAGTGATGCTCAGGCATTCAAACTTGGTTGAGGACTATGAGATGAAGCCATTACAACTCAGGGTGCACACCTGTCCACCCAAAGCCTAATCTTATAAAATGTTTTAATCTTATAGTGCTTGGGTGACTCAGACACAGCTCCAGGAGGCACAGTGGATAATGTTTGCACTCAGGTTCATTAAGTTTTTCCCTTTTAGCCTGGATTTATGGGTAAGGATTGAAAGGGGGACCAGACCTGTAGGGTGAACCATTTGGGATTAAAAAGAAGGCAGTTGGAGTTGGGAACATAGGGATGAGTTTCTCTAAAAAGGATGGAGAGCACCCAATCCTGACTTTGCAAGATGCTGGAGCTAACTCCACATACAGTGGCATCATGTTGGTGGCTTGAAATCATCCATGGGAAGTGGTAAAAGCTACAAATTCAAACATCTTTTGGAGATCCAATTGTTAAACACTTACTGACAGACCACTGCCCTGCCTTCAGGCTCAGTTGCCCTAATTTAAGTGTGATTCATCTATCCACTGTCTCCACGATGTTCTTAATGAAAAAAAAAGTCTGACATAATTCCCTGATACAATTTTCTTTAAAATAAATTCCCAGCTCACTGGGGTGGCATTAAAGGCTGTTCTCCTCAGACTCCAACACAAATTTTCAATCACTCTGACTCCACGCTCAAAAACCACACAAATTTGAGCTTTCTTGAACAATGTAGACTTTTAAATAAATAGATGACACCAGGTTCTACCTCAGACCTAGGGTTTTTAGGACCAACCCTGTGAATAACTGGAAAAGTTAGGTAACATGGATTAGGGCCTTTTACCCCTGGGAACCTCAGCAGGTTTCAGAAGGCTGCAACTGGGCTGGGCTAGGCTATCATGGTAGAGTAGGTATTTAGTATGTGTGAGGCCCTGAGTTTAATTCTCAGCACCACCCCACCTCAAAAGACTACAGCATGGCTTTTGAGGACTCCTGGGTCTTGGTGGGGGACAGTAAAATTTGTACTTTTGCTCTACTTTAAAGGTGGAACCCTAATAAATTCTACCCAGTTTGGGTAAGGAGTGGATTGAAATGCAGCAGCCCTCTCAGGTCCACACCTACCTCTGAGTCATTTCAAATCCTGTTTGGGTAAAGGTCACCTGGGCAACGTAACTTATCTTGAAATAGAGATATAACATCTACACTTTTTGTTATACAGTGTCCAGCAGTCAATAAAAAGTAATTAGGTATGTTGGATTAGCCAGCTTTGTATTGGTCCAGTGAAATACCTGAGATAATTAATTTATAGAGTGAAAATTTAGATGTTCCACAGTTTTGGAGGCTCTAGTCCAAGACTGGGTGAACCCATTGCTTTGGGCCTCTGGTGGGGATGCAAGATGGTAATAGTGGGGAATCCTCTCCTCATAAGTTAGGAAGCAAAGAGCAACAAATGGGAGAGAAAGGGGCTGGAGTCCCAAAATAAGCTTCAAGGGCACACCTCCAATGACCTAAGGACCTCCCAATAAGGCCCACCTCTAATGGTTCTACTACCTCCTGATAACACCACTGTGGGGACAATGCCTCTAACACATGTACCTTAGGGGGACACTTATCCAAACCATAACATATGTGCAAGAGAACCTGTGTATTAAAGGAAAGCAGAATATAGAAGGACATCCAGGGGATATTCAAATAATGTAGTTATGAGGGCAGTTTTTAAAAGATCCATGTAAAATACGCCCAAAGATTTAGAAGACAAATTTGAAAATTTTGACAGAGAAGTATACACAAAAGGAACCAAGCGGAAATCCTAGAACTGAAAGATAGAATGAACCGAAATTCAGAAATAACTAATGTTTACTGGACACTTCCAGTGTTGTGTTTAACACTTAATAGGCATCAGTATAAGACATTTGTGAAACTGGCTTCCCCTCTTCTGTGGCAAAGGAGTCTCAAGACTACATAGTACATATGTAGTACTACCTTTGTTAGATCCTGTACTTCCCTATAGCTGTAAGACATGGTTTTTCTATCTCTCTGCCTCAACAGATCCCCTTTCAAAGATGTTTTAGTCATTTCTGTTGTCACAGTGTCTAGTAGCACAGGGCTCAGTATGTAGAAGGCACTAGATACAATTGTGGTTACCATAAGCTCAGAAGGAAGTCACTAGGTACTGTTTCAGAAGGAAGAGTCTGCTGCATGCTGTGGTCATTAAATTTCATTCAGGAAGCAGATCTGGGGGCTGAGTACCCAGAAATGAGAATAAATTTAGTCAGAGAGATGTCCTGTGGGCAGAATTCCTAGGAACACCAACTGTTTTATTGGCATAAGACAGGACTAAGGGTGGAATTGCAGCCAGAAGCATGAGGAGAGGAAGAAAACTTCCTCTTCCCCTTCTCACCACCCCCTGCCCCACTTTGGAGTCAGAGCAGGCTTGGGATCAGAGTAGAAAAGTTCAGTAGGTCCATAAATAAGGAAAGAAGAGTAGGTCAGTATACACAGCAGGAAGACTGGGAGTACAGGGTTGAAAGCATTGGGAGAGTGTGAGTCATCTTTTCCACTTTACCTAGGGTAAAGAAGTGTATGTGACCACTACTGTTTGAGTATTTCTCAAGTACCAGGATCAGGGCTAAGTACATGTCTTATTTAATCTCAAGACAACCCATGACACGACTTCTGTTATTAGCCCCATCTAAAGGATAATGCAACTGAGACCGAGACAGTCTCCACACATTGTCTGAGGTGACCCAGCTTGGAAATGACATGGGAGGATTCAGACCCAAGTCAGCCCAGGGACTCGTTCCTTGCATACCCAGAAAGGACATGCTGGGGGTCATGTTTGTGTGGGGGACCACAGGGAAAGGACACAAATCCAGGAAAGTCTGGAAACACAAATCTTCTGTTATCCAGGAGAAGTTTTTCTTTCTCTTTGAATTCAGGTTGGGGGATCAGAGAAACATTTACTCAGGAGTTGCAATGTGGGTGGGACTTTTATTTGGAACACTATCTGAGGGTGAGGACCTCATTCCACTTGCAAAGCCACATCTCTTCTTCAATCTTTAAGGACATTTTTTTTTGAGAGAATGCTAATTTCAAATTTTTGGAGGGCTTTCGAAGTAGCATAAGAAAGACAAACGGGAGAGAATCTGTTACAGTTGAGTACTTGCTATCCCTGCTTTCAGGAGTGTGATGACATCATTACGCACCTGATGACTAATAAAAGTTCTAGAAACTTTTCAACAAATTCTGGAAGTGGCAAATTATTAGGCAGATTCATACACATCACCTCCTTCAGCTAGCATTCGTGAAAGTAGTCAAAAGTGAGCAAAGAAATGAGCAAACAGAACACCCTCTTGACCCTCAAAGGTAGATATTATTTATCTACCATGAGGCAAACAGGCCAAATGACTCACTCAGGATCACACAGCTTATGAGGACAGTGCAGTACATGTGACTTTGACCCTCAAAGCAATTGCCTGTGGTGGTATTTGCAGAAGTGTCCCTTTTGCTCTAAAATAAGAACTCTTTAAAGACTTGGGAATTCATTTGTAGCTTCCTCCATTGAAGGATTTTGCCCTCATTTGGGCAAAGACTCTGATTTGTTGGTTGAAAATAAATGCATCAAGATCAACTGTTGTGGTGAGATGATTTATGGCTTCAGTCAGAAAACCTAGATTTCTGGGCATACGTTTTCCGTTCACAAGTTCTGTGACCTTGGGCATGTTCCTTACCCTTACTAGGTCTTTAAGGTGGGATAGCGTGTTATCTAAACTCCCTCCAGTTCTAAATATGCTACAATCTATACTTCTTTAATAGCATTTTCCATCAGGTAGATCATGTAAAAACCCTCCTCAGCCTTTTTATGTCCATGAAAGAGAAGAATCCTTACTTTTTCCTAGTAGTCTAGAATATTATATGTAAGGAAGGAAGTTAATATTTGCTAGTGCCCACTATGAACCAGGAACTACCTTCCTTCCTTCCTTCCTTCCTCTTCCTTCCTTCCTTTCCTTCCTTCTTGTCTTTATTTCTTCCTCCCTCCCACCTGTAAGGAAGACATGATTATCCTCATTCAGAAAATGGGGAGACAGAGGACCATGTAAATGAAGTGATTTGTTCAAGATCACATAAATGGCAAGTGGCAGAGGAAGAATTTGGATCTGCATCTGTTCAAGCACTGAGTTTATTCCAGTTTCCCAAGACGTCAAAGATGTGGATAGTGGGAAGAGTTGCTTTTAAAGCACCTGTTGAAAGGACTCCCTTTTCTCTAGAGCAGGGGTGAGCAAACTTGGGGCTAAATCTGACCTACCCCAGCTTTTGTAAATAAAGTTGTATTAGAGCTCAGACTTTCCCATTGTCTGTGGCTGCTTTTGTACTACAACAATTTATTGAGTAATTGTGCCTATGCCCTGTTGGTACACAAAGCCCAAAATATTTACTATCTGATCCTGGACAGAATGTTTGGCATTACCTTGTCCAGAGTCCAGCAGGCTGTAACCCTTCCAAAGAACACAAGGTGCCTTGTGACTGTCCCTCATGCTGGGAGCCTTATCTATCACTTGGCTTTATGATGAAACAGGGACATTTCTGCTCGATCTGTTTTTGAAAAAGTCAACAGTCTCCAAGTACCTGTCAGGCAAATGAGGGAGTTTGGTTCTCATTGTGTTCTTCTTCCCAGGAACTCTGTGAAGGGGAAATGGAAATCTCAATTTTGGGGAAATTGCACAGGGGAAAAAGGGGAGGGGATCAGTTACAACATTCCATTGCGACACTCAGTGGGGTTGAAAGTGACAACAGTGAGGGTTTCTGTTTTTGGAAACGTGAAGGCATTTCCGCTTCTTAGAGTAGGACAGGGTGAAGCTGCCTGGCTTGGGTAAGTAGCTACTTTATAAGCAGCAACTCTGAGCCTGAAATGGCAGTCTCCACTGCCTTACTGTGGCCACAGGATGGATACCTGCAGGGGTCCCTACACCCACCTAATCTCTCTTCTCCTTCTCCTCCTGTTCCCTTCAGAGGTAACCTGCCGTCCCTCTGGGAGAAGACCTGGCAAGATGCAAGCATTCAGGTAAGGTTGTCCTGAGAATGTGGGGCTGGATGGGCCAGAAAGGGAGACATAGCATAGTTGTCCAGGGCTACTGGCCTGCAGGATCTGAGAACTGAGTGTGGACTGAAAAAGAATATATGTCCATTTAATATTCCAGATGTGGAAAGCAAGGCTGCAGGCTGGGCTCTATTTCTCAGGAACTCAGGCAGTTCAGTGAGTGATAGATATATGCCCAGGAGTGATGCTGGATTTTGGTCTAACAGAGAGAGGAACTGTGGGCAGGGCACAGCCCCAAAGCCCAAAAACTCAGATCAACTGCCCCCATCTGTGTTGACTTGTTGGAGGATCTCACTCTTCTGGGGCCTCAGTTTCCCTGTCTGAGACATGGGGCTCATGATAACCTGCATGCTTTACAGGATGCTTGTGAATATTCAATGCACAGATGATAATGTAACAGTGTTCTGTGAACTGTAAAGTGCCTGAAAATGACTGTGAATTTTGAAATTGGGTTGGAGATTTGGGAGATGTAATCATTTGCTGTAGTAAAAATGACAGGCTGTGATGCTGATAAAAACAAGTGGGGCCATCTGTTTGAGTCCTCTGTCCTGTGATCTTTCCTGGGAGTGGTCATTTTGGGTGACTTACTCCTCAACCCTCATCTGTTTCTGATTTGAGACTACAGGCAGGTGAGTGTGTGAGTGTGCAAATGCATTCATAGGCAAGTGCTCCCTCTCAGACTTTGGAGTTGTCTGTCTTGTGAGGTTTCATTGCCTCCTCTTGCCAGTCATAGGTGATGTCCCTAGAGTCTTCTTGCATAGATGTTGAATATCTTCAAACTGAGACTCATCTAGGAATGAAGGTTAATTCAAAAAGGTCAAATGCTCACACATTCAAAGCATGTCAGTTTGCCTGACCACCCCTCCCCAAGATCATGGGCTGCTCAAAGCTACCTGATAAGGCAGGCATTGTTAGCTACACTTCACAGGAGAGGAAATGAGGCACAGATTCAAAGCCATGCTTGCCAGGGCTCTGATCACCATACCTCACAGCTACCTGCCCCACCATCACTCAGAAGGGCCCATCATAAAGAAAAGAGGATTGGGAGCTACCAAATTGGTCACTGTATGAGCTAGAAGAAGCCAACTTGTCTCCAGGAACAGCTGCCCTTCCAGGCCCAGAGCAGTTCCCTGGTGGGTAGAGGAAAGAATCTAGGGACAGACTCTCTCAGTCCAAGGCTCAGATATTCTGCCCCTTGAACTTCTAACACTGTGTTGTGGTAGCCACTAGTTTCTGGTGACTATTTAAATTTACATTTAAATGAATGAAGTGAAGAAAAGTAAAAATTTGAATCCTCAGTCACAACTATAATTCAGGAGCTCAATAGTCACATGAAGCTGGAGGTTACCATATTGGGTAGGGCAGATATAGAACACTTGTGCATCCCATGAAGTTCTCTTGAGTGGTGATGCTCTAGAGCATGCTTTGTTAAAGTAGACTGTCCTTGTGCTGGGAGTCTTGGATAAGTAGTGAGGCAAAGAGATGGACAGAAAGGAGTTCTTCCACTCACCAGCTATAGGAGTTAGGCCTGGCCCTTAACTAGTATCAGCTTCAGTCTTCTCATCCATGCTATGGGTGTGTTAAGTACCACACCCCTAGCAGAGTTGGATGCAGATTATGTGAGCTCTGGGGGGCATGGAAGATGCTGAGCACAGGGCACAACACACAGCAGCTTTTCACTACAACTGGGTCCTTTTGTTTTTCAGAATCTGGGATATTAACCAGAAGACCTTCTACCTGAGGAATAACCAACTGGTTGCTGGATATTTACAAGGGCCAAATACTAAACTAGAAGGTGAGTGGTGCCAGGAAAGACACTGTTGTGTGGGTTTGGGGTCATTTTGCCTTTGGAGTCTGCAGCATCATGATCTGCCACTATGACTTTAGGCAGGACCTTCTAATCTCTGTTTTGTTTAAAGCTGGAGACATGGCCACTAGAGGACACACATGCAGGCAGACTTAAGAGAGTAGGAAGAGGTAATCTGGGTCAAGAGCCACCAGCTTCAGAGGAGGACACATATGTGGGTAGACTTAAGAGAGTAGGGAGAGGTAGTCTGGGTCAAGAGCTACCAACCTCAGATGCAGTGTGCAGAGCCACACCTGGGAGGGGCAGGGACTAAAAGGCAAGATTAACCCTTCCCCTCCTTCTGTGTCTATTAGGCCTCTATGTTCCTGGGTCATTCAAACCCTAGCCCTACCCCAGATTAACATACCATAGGCGAACCTGAGTGATGACCGTTATTCATGGATACTATACTCATGGTCTAGTTTATAGTCCAAACAAGCTGGATGAACTTGAATGATCTTCACCCATTTCACTCCTCAGTTGTCCCTTTAGTGAGATGAGGGCATTTGGATGATGGAATATGAGTTTGTTTTAGTATTGACATTCACTTCCCTGTTTGGTATTGAAAAATGGCATTATCTCTATCTCCCCACCCTTCCCAGAGTCCTTGCCTTTTCTCTCCTGCCTTACTTTGAAAGAGTATGAGACCTTCCTTTCCTGTTTTTCTGGTAATTTTCCCAAAGAACATGCTGGGAGGCTGTGATTTTTACTGTTATGTGAGGGCATGGAAAAAGTCAATTCTGTGTCCCCAGGCTTTCTGGAGCCCCACTCATGACCTTGTATGTTACTTTCCTTGCCCATTGGCAGAATGCCTATTGACATGGAACAGTATCCTGGGGAAAGTGATGGGAGGACAGAAATCACATGAAACAGAATCTAGGAGACGTGGCACTTTAGGAGTAACTTGGTTACTCTGTTTGCTTTGGTTGATCTTCTGTTTGGATGAAGACCAGGAAGATGGGGCTGTGCTCTCTTGTCTTGGGATTTTAGTTGGGAAAGGAGAGAGAAGAATACCCAGAGTCTCTTCCCCATCTCTGCTTCCTTTTTCTCTTATGACCATCCCCTCTGCTTTTTCTTAGAAAAGATAGATGTGATGCCCATTGACCCTCATGCTATGTTCTTGGGGATCCATGGAGGGAAGCTGTGCCTGTCCTGTGTCAAGTCTGCTAATGACATCAGGCTCCAGTTGGAGGTAAGGATCTTGTTTGGGTAGCAAAAAATTCTAAAATCCAGTACCTTAAAACAACCATGGTTTGTTCTCATGATTCTCCAGGTGGATTAGGATAAGCAGGATCGTTTCCACACAGAGGAACATGGTGGGGTCACTCCTATAGCTGATTTCCACAGAGTGCTTGAGTGATGCTGCATGTCCAAGTTGGCCTGTCATTCTCTAGCCTTCTTTCTTGTGGTGTCTCAGCATTCAGTAGTTACCTTGAGCTTCCTTATGCATGGTAGCTGACTTCCACGTAGGCCTATTCCATAAAGACAAGTCTCAATATGAAAGTGCTTATTAAATTTTGACTTACATGATCTTATTGGCAAAAACCTATTTGTGGCTAAATCTGGGCTCAGTGTGGGAGGGGACTGCTCAAGGGTGTGAACACTAGAAGGAGTCATAATTCACGAGAGACCAACATCATGAAAGTCTTTCACAGGACAGTTAGGTTCCATACATGAGCCATGTTCTTGTTCAGGGTCTCCCAACCTACTCAGCTCTACCATCTTCTAACAAGCCCAACCCTCAGGCCCCTTTTCTTCTAATCCTTGCCTACTTGACTAGTTGGCATCTCACCTAGATCCTTGTCACTCTCTAATACCATACAATAGTAGTGGGCTGTACAGTCCTGGGATAATGTGGCTTTGTCTCAGGGGCTTGTTGAACAAAATTTTAACCTAACTGTGGAGTTATAACCATGGTACTGTCACTTCCTTTCACCAGTAGATAAGTGTACCTTTTTGAAGGGTGACTGCCTATTCTGTGTGAAGTAGGGATGACCAGGATACCATGCCTAATGAGCCTCAAGATTCTCTGCTCCTTCTCTAACACCCCTTCTCCTTGAAGGGTCAGCCTTCAATGACCTTGGCCTCTGATGATGGAGAGCCGTACATTTACTGGCCCATGGTTGGTCAGAGGGGCCAGATTTCCAAAGTCAAGGTGTGAATTGGACAACTCTTTGTATCAGTGTATTCCTAAGAAACCTGGGAGGCATGGTCTCTGGTCAGGTCTCTAGGCCAGCAGGTCTTGAACACTTACTCTATGCCAGCCAAAGGGCCACAAGCATGGTGGGAGGTAGAGAGATAGACAGCACAGGCTTCCCAGGTCCTCAACTCTCACCTGTCCACTTCTTCACTTCCAGGCAGTTAACATCACTGACCTGAGCAAGAACAAAGAGCAGGACAAGCGCTTCACCTTCATCCGCTCAGACAATGGCCCTACTACCAGCTTTGAGTCAGCTGCCTGCCCAGGCTGGTTCCTCTGCACAGCATTGGAGGCTGACCAGCCTGTCAGCCTCACCAACACACCAGAAAAGGACATTATGGTCACCAAGTTCTATTTCCAGGAAGACCAGTAGTACTGCCCAGACCTACCTTTCTCCACTTCCAGGCCATCAATGACTCCAGGAACTGCCTCTCCACCTTGGGCATATATGGGTTCTAAGGAGCAACCTTTGCAGAGCAGACCTGGGGAAGGAGGCACAAAAGCCCTGGTGACAGGACTCTTCCCACCGTCTCTCAGCTGATCCAGTCTCTACTCTGCTTCCAGAATGATCTTCCAAAGTACAAACTGAATCATGGCAGCCCCTTGCTCAAAGCCCTTCCCTGTTGCCTGTTTCCCCTGGGTGAAATCCAGACTACCTATAGTGCCCAGGTGCCTTTTGTTCTTCTTTCTCTACCTCCCCTCTTCCACCACCTGCCATATCCATGACCCATATCCATCAGATCACTTGCTGACCCTCACCAAATGGCTCCCATCCCCTGTTTTACCCACCAATGCTGGTCCATGGGAAGTTTTTTTCTTGTAGTTGATTTTGTTTTGGTTTTGGTGCTAGGGATGGAACCCAGGGCCTCACATGCTAATTGTGTTCTTTACCCCTGACCTACACTCCCAGCCCATGAGGAAAAATTTAAATGTCTGGAAAATATAAATTAAGGAGTTCAGGATTATTTTTATTAAGCCAACTTTATTCAGTGTGAAGTAGAGTCCTTCATTTGGAGGTTATGTCCTTTCTGAGAGGGACTGGAGATTAGAATGCTTCTGTATTTATGAAATGATGATGAACCTGGCGAAACAGGTGGTAATTTTTCCTTTTGTCCCTTCTTTTTATGGTGCCAAAACTGTAAAAATTAGTGGACTTTGTTGGCCCTGCAGTTTTTGTCTTTTTTGAAACATTCCCATAATCTGGAACGCCTGCCTATCCCTGAGCACCATCTCCACTCCAGAACTTCCACAGCTACCTTTAGTTCTTACTCCTCATCACAAGTTTCCAGACTGACTCTGCACTATGCAAAATGTGGCTCCCCAGGTCCTTTCTGCTCTGGAGGGATGGATCCACAAATTGCTCTTTGACCATGTTAGCACCTCTCTGACACTGAGACTTGTGTGAAAGGTAGCTGTCTGTCTCCCCTACTAGATTGTGAGCTCCAGGGAGCAGGGAGCATGAATTGTATATCCCAGGTCCCTGAAGGACTGAGCACTCAGCCTAGTCTTTAGTAGATATTCAATGAATTTATGTTGTATGTGTCAGCTTTGTTTTATAATAAAACTGAAAATGCCTACTTTGCTGGCTATGACCATGGCCTTGCCAGGTATAGGGCATACAGAACTGGGGAAATGGGGAAGCCAAATGGTTTTTCTCACCCAGGGATGTGGCCTGGCTGCCTCTCCTCTGAGAATCAATCCTCTTCCCCTTTGGTCTTCACTCTACCTGGATAACATGAGAGCAAATGTACCTATCTGGAAGGTGTGGAACAGCATTCTCCACAAAAAAACACCTAAACAGAAACCACCCAAATGTCCATCACCAAAGAATGAGCACATAAATCATGGATCTGCACACAATGTAACTCTCCAGGGCAAAGACAATGAATGAACCACAGTCAGCTGCACCCAACACAATGAATGCATCTTAATAAACACGATGTAGGGCACAAGAATCACAAAAGTTCAGACACTGCATGTGAACTAGGTCAAGCAGCTGGTTATAGGGTAGTAACAGGCAAGGCAGGAAAACATAATCAGGTGAGTCCTGGGATTCTATAGTCACATCCTAGTTTCCTGTTTGCTATGTGTGCTCGTGGAAGATTGTCACTAATGCAGAGGGCTGCAGTTAGTCTTTGCAATAACCCTAGGTGGTGAGTAATAATATTATTCATTACTGTTATTGGTCCTGGAAGAGCCAGAGCACAAAAGACTCTGCCTTAAATCCTTGTTGCTCTAAATATGGTTCACAAATGAGAAGTGTCCATATTACTTGGAAGTTAAAATGCAGACTCCCCGGCCTCACCCCAGACTTTCTGACTTAGGATCTTCATTTTAACCAGACCTCCAGGTGAGCCACGCACATTAAAATTTTAGAGACATTGCTTTAATATCAGCTCTCATGCAGAGCAAGAGCATATTTATTAACGATTCTTGTAATTAGAAACACAACCCACGTCCTTTCTCCCCACCTCACTAGCTCACCGACCATACCAAAAACTCCCCTCGTTTTTACTTTGACTTCAGGTGTTCCACAAAACATTCTGAAGGGAACGCTTAGGCCATCACTGTCCTGCTAGAATGTCAGCCCAACACAGGTTTTCTTCTTCTGTGTATCCTAAGCACCCAGATCAATGGTTTGCATATCCTAGGTGATTGAAGGCTCCTTGGTAAATCAGTGAATTAGTCACTTATACATCAATAGAGATTAGTGGATTAAATTGGCCTGCAAATTTAAGACTAGAGATTCAAACCAGGAAAAGTTTGAAAGAGGCCAAGAAGAAGGGAAATGCTGGAGGTATAGTGACTTCAAAGGATTTGGGGGCTGAGCAGGGAAAAGATACGACCACCAGATGGCAGTAGCACTCACAAAGCTCAGTCGGTGACACTCTGAAGGTTTGGGGGCATTTCATTATGCCAGGGCTATTTCCAGAGGCTACAGCATGGTGGAGGTGGGATCCTGTACAGAGAGGGAGAAGGGCAAAAGCATTTCCAGGAGAGAAGGGCACTAGAGATGGGGTTTACATGTCACTTAGCAGCACAGCAGGGAATCACCAATTCAGAGAACTTCAAAGTGCAATAGCTTATGGCCTGGGCCTTACTCTTAGCTTGCAGATAGTGGGTGCTATTTCACGCAGTGTGCATACTGAGACAGTTTCATGGGGAATGTACAACAGGCAGGCTCTGAATGGCCAAATATCTACTTACTGGGGCTATATTTAAAACGACAGGATGTGCAAACATTTGAGTTTGGTGTTGGGTGGGACTTTGAGCTAACAGGTCTGACTTGGCCTGCAGTGAAGAAATCAGCTACCTAGGTGCCAGTACACAGAGGCCAACTTTGTCTCATTTATATGACACATGGAATGGAACATGGCTTAGGAAAGCAAGGTCTGAGTAGCATGTTCAAGAAAGGCTTTTGTACAATTAGGAGTTAGTGCAATGGTGTTTGGGAAACAAGAGAGCCTCACTCAGATAGGAGAGAAAAGCATAGAGAGGGAACCTGGGCAAACTCTTAAGAGGAGTATGGCCTTTTCTGTCACTTCTAGACCCAACTGACTAACTATAACACCATAGAATCACAGACTAACTAGTTCTAAAATTCAAAGCTGAATTAGAGACTTCCTAACTTTCCCAGACTTGTCAGTTTCCCTCCTAGCCATGGCCAAGCAATCTCTGCTTCCCAGGCCTCAATTTTCTCACCCATGAAAGGAAGGGATTGGACTAGATCCATGCTCCCATCAGGTTCACATGTGGAACTTCTTTATCAAAACAATGCCAATGCCTGGCCTCCAACTCCCCACAGAGATTCTGATTCACTTGGACTGGGGGTGGCCTGAGCTGGGGCAAGGACATCAATATGCCAGAGCTGAGACTCTCTGGGGCTCTGAGATAAGTCCTCCCAGCTGTTCCTACTGACAGCATCTGTAAATGCAAAGGAGAGAGATGGCTTTTCACTTCAGGAACAGGCTCCCTACCAAGTCAGCAGTACTGTCTAATGTTAATTAGGGTTGAAGGTAGATGGAAGTTGGGGATGTAGATCAGTGGTAGAGCTCTTGCCTAGCATGAGTGAAGTCCTGAGTTCAATTCCCAGCACTGGGAAAAAAAACTGCTGATTCAAGTGTGGTGATTCACACCTGTAGTACCAACACCTTGAAAGGTAGAGGAAGGAATATCATGAGTTTCAAGGACAGCTTGAGCTAGGCAATAAGACTTGGTCTTAAAAAAAAAAAAGCTAGAACGTGTTTTACTTTCACAGTCACAAGGCTGGTTAAAACCCTTTGAGCTTCACTTATTTTTTTGTTGCATAAACTGTGTTATAATGGGATCGTTTAAATTGGGGTATAATTTTCACAGATCTTGAAAAGACCAAAAAATTGTGTTTTCTCTTCAAATCCTTAAGCCACAGCAGCACATCTCAGCATGTTTTATAGTAATTCCAGATATATGGGTTTGGGGAGATAGTGAAATATATTCAGGAGTTCTTAATCTCAAATTTTTTCCACTTAAAGTTTAAATAGAGGGACCATGAGCCTCCCAAAGAATGTGCCTCTGGATCTCCAGAGGCTTCAAGTACAAGGGGAAAAGAAATGAAGGTCAATAAATTCCCACCAGGGGGCAGCCATCTACATGTGCCTTACATTCTGCTCTGGAAAGAAATTTGGGGAAATAAATACTGTATTGTCATTGATTGGGTTCATGCTTTCAGATGGGTGATGGTCTTGTTTTTGAAAGACTGGATTTTTTGCTCCAAGGAAAGTTTATTCTCCTTCACCAACCAAAACAATTTGAGGTAGTTACTTCCTAAAGTAGTGGGGCCTGATCTCTGATAAGAACCCAATAAATATCTGTTCTGTAAAGAGTGAAACTCAACAAATTCCAGTGGTCTTCTGGACCTGCTTTAAAGACCACCACCTGTGGTGCTGAGGACCTCTTGCCTGAATGATTGACTGAGGTGTAGAGCTAATCCTCCCATCTCCCAGGAACACACACTTACCATGCCAAAACTCAGTGCAAGAACCCCTAAGCTTGCCTGCCACAGAAATAAGCCCTTTTTTTCATGTTGGCAGATGGTGGACAGAGATAACAAAGGACAACTGGACAAAAAGGCCTAGACACTCATTATAATGAGAATGGATCTGTCCAGGAACAACCATGCTTACATTTTTTCCCAGGGACAGTTGGCACAGACTCAGAGTAGAGTAACTATCTTTGTGCCCATGATCTCACAGAGCCCCCACCTTGCTACTCCACTTCCACATTAAAGGGCTATCTGCCAAGAGTTGTGGGGGTCTATAGCCTCTAGCCAAGACATATCTTCCTTGGGCCATGATGAAGTCATATGAGTACCTTCTCCTTAGCAATATTTCTTATAAGTCATAGAATTTTACTTTCCTTCCACCATATGCCTATGTCTGAAGGATAAGGATGGAGGAGAGGCAGGGCTAGATACTGCTGGGCCAGACAGGTGATGGTAAGAACTACAGCCTGTTCTGAAACATGAACAAGCCCCTTCCCTGCCCCAGGCTACACTTCTGAGTGCTGTCTCTCTGTTATGCATCACCTAATTCCTACACAAATCTCTTCCAAATTAGACTCTTAGGCAATTGTTTCCATAAAGCCATTAGAGATCATCTATACCAATCCTCAGTAACCCACTGTCTTCTAACTCCATAGGCACCTGTGGCCCAGTCCCCTGATGTACACAGAACTACAGAGGTCTTTCCAGGTGTGCATGTTTTTCACTTTTCACTGAACTCCTTAAGGTAGGGACTAAGTTTTTTTTTTTTAAACCCCAGAGCACTGGGCCATGTATCTGGAACTGATTAAAATTCATTACAAACATATTCTGAGGTACATCAATTTCACATGTAGTTTCCATTTGCTTCTTTCTTAGAATACTCCACCCTGAGACCCACCTGGCTTGTTTTCTTTTCTGCATCAAGGTCTCTGTGCACATGGTACTTTATCAGAGAGGTCCTTTCTGATTACCCTATTTAAAATAGCATTCCACTCCTGAAATCCACCTGTACGTCCTTGAGTCACCATCTCTGCATCCTCTTTTATTTTTCTTTGTATTATTGCTTTTAATATGCTATGTGTTCACTTGTCTATTTAAGTGTATTTTCATATGCATTATAAACTCCATTAATGGCAAGGACACCCCATCAGTGCCTGATTTTATAATCTTTAGCACCTGGAGACAGGAGAGAGGGCTCCCACAGGGGTTAGTCACAAGTAGAAACCAGATCAAGTAAACAGTAGGATTTTTACATAGTCAATGTGTATTTCTACTCTTCTATTTTTTCTGTGGGGTGAATGGGGAAAATAAAAATTTCTTCTCTGAATAGAATATGGGGGCCCAATGATTTGAATTGGTAGTCTCAAAGTCCGCTCACAGTGTACAAAGATGGTCTGTTTGTCTCCCCATTCTTCCCCACTGTGAGAGCCACACAAAATTTATAGAGGGAGAGTATGGTGGAATAAAGTGAGAAGAATGTAGATGGTTAGAAACGGTAATCGAAGGGTCACAGCAGAAGCAGCATGAGCCACAGTCAAGCTGAATTTGAAATGTACTGTCCTATAATCCACTACCTCATAACCTTCCCCCCACAAAGCAGGGTCCCCAGGCCTGCCATATTGCTTGGTTTTCTGCCCCCTTTTTTCTCTTTCACCACACTCTGTCAGCCCCCAATGTCCATATTTCTGTGGCTGTGTTCTGTAAAGACACTCATATTTCTTAACCTCCCACCACCCAAGCAGGTCCCCAGTGTGTCTTTGGCT